TTGTATGAACTGCAAATGCTAATGTATTATTGGAAAAGGAAAAGATAAAATAAGTTGCTGAAGTTGCAAATCTGTTCCCGAAAACTATTTAGGAAGTCAATTTGGTACTAAAAGTTGTATATCCTGAATAACATTTTGTTTTTAAATAATTAGTCAAAGTAGACTTACCATTTCATGTTTTCCTCTGCTGATCCATTTACTACTTCCTCTTCTATTTCAAATGTTCCCGCTCATTTATTGATAACATTTTTTTGCTGCTCCTGGGAGAGCGTTGACTCATTCTCAATATCCACATGTGATATTATGACGTTAACACTCCACAACAAGACCTGAATTCAGAGCCTTATTTTAAGAGGCTCTATTCTTCTTTTGGGGGTTTTCCCTTTCCTGTATATTCTATATGTTTGTGTGCATGTAAATGGTCTGCAGGCTTAAAACCCTGTGTCCTAAAACCCGGGAAATACTTTTCATACTTTCATACTTTTTTTGTTGCCGTTCGTCAGGAAGTCAATGGTTTTCTGAATGTGTTTTTGGTTGTTAACCTGAAGTAAGGTCTGTGGTTAACACCAGCTAAAGAGATTTTAACAAATAATTTCAGTAATTACCCCACTGGTGAATGTCTGAAATGTGTCATGAAAACACGTATGCTAATAAGTGACTAAATAAACGACTGAACGTCATCACGCCTTTAGCTGAGTGGTGGTGACACACAGCCATGAAACCGTGTTGTAGTTCCTTTAAAGCCTAGCGTTAGCTTTTTACTTCTGGCAATTGCATTTATCCTTCAAAAATCATAAAGTGGTGTTAATATGTGCAGATTATCCTGCTGAACCAAACATATAAGTATCATGAACATTTGTGAGCGACAGAGACATGGGCGGTGCCAGGATATCTTTGCTGCAGTAGCTTAGCAGTTGCTATATGACAGCACGGCGTTGCTAGTTAATTTTCAAAATAAATAAACAAACAATACCAGTGGGCCAAGCACGAGCCTGTTCATATTGTAGCGTTCACCGCTATTCAAGATCACAGATCACGAGCCTTCATTGTCGAAAACGTTCTCTTTATTTTATGGTATTGACGGCCACAGCCACGCCTTACAGAGCCAATCAATAGTATAACACTCATTATGACTTTTCCCCACACTCGAACACAACTCCTAACGTCTCGTACTCCCTACACACACACCGGAAAACGCACACACACACCTGGAAGGGGCGGTCTCTCCCTAACTCCCACCAACAACATTGCCTAAATAACTTTACAAATGTACTAATCTGCACATCTGATAACTGAAATAACTATTAACTTGGACACGCTGCAATATTATCATTAATATTTACATTAAAACATTCCTTTGACACTTATAACATTACTTTGCAAGGTAAGCACAACCAAAATAAGTTTGTAAAAGCAGAATTTGAACACTGTTTCTGTGCTCCTACAATATTTGTGTATAATACCATTACACCCTAAGCGTACACAATAGCGATCGTTCACTGTTTCAACTGGCATGCTGTGGCATTTAACCTCATCACCACACCGCAAACAGACAGACACACACACACACACACACACACACACACACACACACACACACACACACAGGGTTGTCCGGCTGGACCGGCTCCGTTGGAGATCGCGGCCGTTTACGCTGACTTGTGAGAAATACATTTTCATAACAAAACAATGGGGTTGCTAAGCCGTTGCTAGGCCAATTGTTGGAGTTGCTATAGCAACTCCAAGCTACCCCCTGGCGCCGCCCCTGGACAGAGATTATTTCCTTCCATATACGGAAATCAAATAGAGAAAAAGTAAGTAAATGTGTCAGATATTGGATGAGGAGTAAAATAATAGAGTTTCTTTAAATGGACATACAGTATACTCTCGCTAAGTACCTTGTAATTGAGTACAGCACTTTAGTAAAGGTTCTTTGTTACTGTCCACCACTGGCCTTGTATGTTGTACTGGTTTAAATCTATCTTTGTTTTTTAGTCAAAATGAAGATCGCTGCCTTCAATGTGAAGAGACTGGGATGGACTAAAGTCAACAAGAAGGCCGTACGGGAAATTATCATTGAGGTAACTCACCGTGCTGAACCACACAAGTTTGTTCAGTGTAATATTTCAGTTAATGTTTTTGTACATGGTAAGACATTTAAATGAAAGGAGCTGTTTTTTTTATGAAGCTTAGATATAAGTTTGTTCATAAGATCATCCGAAAAACAACAACAACAACAACAAGTATTTATCACTGGTCAGATTTGGTAGTCACTACGAAGCAGGATTTTCGCTTAGCGGGCTAACTTCAGGGAAAACTCTGGGTTTCCGGTCCTACGACGCTGGTTCTCTTTTTAGCGGGCTAGATCTCCATGGTAACTTATGCTGAGCGGCTAACCTGCTCCGGAGCAGGTTAGGTTGCAGGCTAAGAGATCAACTCAGTGAAAGCACCGCCTGCTGACCAATCAGAGCTCCGTGTGCGGAGTTTAAAGCTATCAAGTCATATTACAGGATAGAGGAAATACAGAAAAAACTGCCGTTGCAGGAAAGACGGCCGGCAAAAATCAACTGACTGTGAACGTGAAAATTAATAGAATATCCCCTCCAATCTTCAGAGCAATCTGACTATTATAACATTAGCGTTAAGAAAGCTTACTTAAATATCTGCCACGACATAAGTAACCGGATCAGAGTAACATTAAGTACAGTCCGCGGCACTGTGAGTGCAGACGTCGATGTGTCCCATTATCATTCATATCATATCACATCATTATGTATCATATCTTTCCTTATTTGAGTCAGCTTCTTGAGCCGTATCTGGCGTGCAACACTCACAGTGTCACATACTGTATGCAGAAGTATTATTTTAAGCAACACATTAAGTTGACGAAACACTCGAGTCAAATGTAATTAAAGTCAGATCCACTCGTGTCTTGGACGGGGCAGTGATATCATAAACCTGTTAATGTACGCATTCAAACACTTTTTCTGTTACCAGCTGTATTCACCTTGCAGGTGCAGCTATGTGGCTTTTATCCTGGATAAAGTGTTTAAGTCATGGATGTTTAAAGTTTAACTTCTTCATATTTGACTAATATTAAAGTTCACTTTTCATTCAGGAAGTATGACGCTGCGCTGTCAGTACGCTTGTCCATGTTTGTGATTGGTCGAATGCTCCAAATACCACCCCTTTCATGTGAACGCGCACCTAACTAGATAGGACACGGCTGGCTTGAGCGATCCACTTGATAACCAGCGTTGTAGGACCGCTTAGCGAGAGCGTGTATGTTTTGGATTAGGCCAACCGGCTAACTCAAACATATCCAGGTTATGTTGAACCAGCTTCGTAGTACAGGCCTCAGCTGTAACTGTTAAACATATATATTAAAAACTTCTGCTACTGCAGTTACAAATACATTTTCCAAGGCTGTATTTGGTTCTGCATCTCAAATATGAATGTTTTTTATTTGTATTTTTTATATAAGACATTTTAAAGTAGACACTAAAGATTTAGATACAATTTGTTATGGTGGCTTACCTCCTTCAATTTAAGGCTTATAGTAGACCATGCTGGCTCATTGTCACATATATGGAACACTTTAATATAACAAAGCCATTATTATTGTTGGTATTATTAGTCACATGTTTGTTTTTATAAGCAAACTCTTCTACCCGAAACATTTTTTATATTGTGTTGTTTTTGTTTTGGTCTTTAAAGCATGTTTGAATTTCAATTCAAAGGCTTTATTGTAATTTGTACCCCGCTTAGAAAATGAAAAAAAAAGGTTAGCCCTAAAGAGTGCAGGGTTAGGGCTAAACAATAAATACAAATTAAAAAAGTGCTTTTAGTTCTATGCTTTTTTTTCTCTGTGGTTGTGTTTTGCAGATTTTGTCTGAGTACAGCGTGGTGGTGCTGCTGGAGGTGATGGATGAGAGTGGTAAGGCCATGAAACTGCTCCTCAAACACCTGAATAACTATGGGTGAGTTCTCCACACATAGTAGCATGCACTTTAATTTAAAGGGGCCATATTCTGCAAATGTTCAGGTTACATTTTTTATTTTGTGCCTCTACTGTGACGTGTCTCCATGCTTTGATGTTCAAAAAGCTCTTTATTTTGTTCATACTGCCTGTGCCGCAGCACCTCTTTTCACCCTCTGTCTGAAACCAGAGCCCAGTCTGCTCTGACAATAACATTTTAATGTATGTGGCTAAAAAACAAATCAAATCTTATGGGGCATCTAAAATGATACAAACAAATGATTGATGATTGTGAGAGATGTTCAGTTCCAGTTGTTTCTGTTTTCTGGCAGAGATAACAGAAGTAATCCGTACGGCATGCTGTGCAGTGAACGTCTGGGACGGACGGCTTACAAGGAGAAGTTTGTCTACTTCTACAGGTCAGAAACACAAGTACAGACAATCCTGTGTGTGGTTACCTTTTTGGGCAACCAGTGCCTTCATTGTAGAGACAGACCTGAAATGAAGAGTGATGACACACGGCAAATGGTCTTTGAACTGGATTCAGACCAAGCCTCAGTACACATCAATCTACCAATTGAGCTATACGTTATGTCTCACAGCAATTAAAATATGTCTTAAATTGGTAACAGCCACATTAAATTGGATACTTATTATTGAAAAACTGTGTGGAATATTAAAGACAAAAAAAACAGTAATGTTTGTTTTTGAACCAGTAATCTTTGACACATTACATTACTCTTCTTTGAGACGCTTGACTTCAATCTTTTAAGTTCTACAATTTATTTGTTGTCTATGGTCCGGTAGCTAAGACCCAGAACATCATAGGCTTTACAAATCAACACATTGTGCCGTTGGGCCAAACTCTACATACATTTCCTACAAGGCTTTACTGAAAAACTTCAAGTGGTTTATGAGATATCTCACTATCTAACACAAATACATTAATAAACAAACAAAACATAGCATGTGTGTTTATGAGCTTTATAATACAGTACATGTTTGTGGCTTTGTGTTTCAGAAAGAAAGAAGTGAAGATAGAAGACTCCTACCAGTACGTAGAAAATGATGAAGATAATGAATATGATGAAGATGATGAAGATGAAGAAGATGTTGACGAGCTCGCCAGAGAGCCTTTCGCTGTCCTTCTCAAATGTCCAAGCACAGGTATTTGTGTGTGTGTTTGTGTTTTTTAGACTATCATTGTGAGGATCAATTTGGGTTTTGTGTGTTGTGGACCTTTATGGATTATGAGGACATTCTGGCCTGTTCTCTATTTTGGTACAGACCTTCAAAGGACTGTTTGAATGTTAAAGCACTTCTTTAGTTAAAATAGGGGTTGAAGGTTAGGCAAAATTGTTTTGTTTATGTAGGTCCTCACAGGTGTGTTTATGTGTGTGTGCATATGTCTTGCACGGCTATCATTGTGAGGACCACTTGGAGTTTAAGAAGTTATGAGGACCTTTCTATATTGTGAGGTCCTAACTTTGGGAAAGACCTAAATGGACTATTTACATATAAATACTTTGTTAAAGTTAGACTTAGGTTGCGATAACGGCCGGGGAATTATTTGTGTGTGTGTGTGTGTGTGTTTGCCTCCAGTTGTGCAGAATCTGGTGTTGATCCCGGTCCACACCAAACCAAGTGACGCAGAGGCGGAGCTGAACGCTCTGCATGAAGTGGTTGAAGATGTGAGGGAAAGATGGCAGAATGATGTAAGTGTTTAAAATATTATTGATGGGTTTGAAAGAAAAACAATGTGTGAACATCTTTACATTTAACATTAACCATCTTTTGTTTATCACAATATTAAGTAGGTTTTTGAGAGATTAAATCGATTTGTTTAATTATGTTTCTCATGTAAGCACACTTTGTTTAAGCTTTGAATACCTACAGTATGAATAAAGTAAAAATAAATAAACATAATGTGCTTTTTCCATTCTGAATTTGCTTGTGTTGTTCTTTCTTCTGCAGAACATTATGATTTTGGGAGACTTTAATGCCGATGGAAAGTATCTCTCCATGAGGAAGAAGGACTCGATCCTCATCTCCTCAGCTCCTTATTATTGGCTGATAGACGATGATGTCGACACCACGACTAGTAACAATAATGACCACACCTACGACAGGTAATACACATTTCATTGTTACAGTTTAATCCAAGCATATTTTGTGTTTGTTAAAAAAAAAAAGAGTTGTGCTGCATTTCCAAATAACAGGATTGTTGTTTACGGAGAGAGGATGCTGAAGGCCATCGTCCCCGACTCAGCCATCGCCTACAACTTCGAGGAAGAGTTGAACTTGACAGAAGAAGAAGTGAGACTCATGTTTAGGGCTGGGTATCGTTGGTACTAGACTGTAACACTGAAACCTGCTGAAGTGACACAGTGCAACCCATTACCGGTTTAAATGCATAGATGTAAATGTTTCCGGTTTAGCCCTAGCAGCATAGTAAACAATACATTTTATTTGGGATTATTAACAGCTACACTACCGAAGCCCATCGGCTGGTTGGAAAGTATACTAAAGCACATGTGGATAGTTTTATAAAAACTGCCAGAAGGGTGGAAAAATATTAGGTAGGCTAGGAACGTTAGCTATCTACCTAACAAGCTGGCCAACGAAAGATAGCTATCTACTTTACAAACTAGAAAACATTTGCTATATATCTCACTTAGCTAGCTAGTTTATGTTAGCTATATATCTAACAAGATAGCTAGCCAATGTTAGCTATCTTGCTATCTATTGACAAATTGGTGATTCGCATAACTTAAGACTAATATTTAATATCCTATGGTTAGACTTGCAGTGCAAACTTGTGTCTACAGTTCTGGCAGTGAGAGTCATTTAAAAAACATTGTTGACATGCTTTTATTAAGCCGACCGACCGCTGTCATATAGCCAGCAGCTAAAATTCACAAATGTACGTTGTTTGGATAAACTAATCACATAATGGCTATCTAAATGGTTAATTTATTTCCTGAAAAAGGGTTACAACTTAATAACAGTCATTCAAAAGCTTAAAAAGCGGTTTATTTATTAAATAAATTGTTGATGAAGCTGGCAACCCTAGTAATCGCGCATTTGCTCTAACCGGAAGAACAAACTCAAAATAAATATTGACGATATTAAATGTTATTTTCTGTCCCAGACTCAGAGTGTCAGTGATCACTACCCTGTGGAGGTGGAGCTGAAGGAGAAAGCTCTGAGAAAAAGGAATCCAGGGACAACAGGGGGTAAAGCTGTCTCTTGTTTTATCAACATCAATGACACATATTAGACATAGGAGTGTATTTAGTTTAGTTTTTTATGGCTCTTGTTGCATCATGAATCTGACATTAACAATATACATACATTTCTATTGAACTGATGACTTACAGCAGCCCAGAAGAAGAAGCCTGGGCCGGCAGCGAAAAAGAGGAGAGGAGCGTAAACCAAGAGAAGAGGAACCAATCTTCAATAGATATCCTCTTAAAGTAGTTTAGTTATTAGCTTTTAGTGTTGAGCGCTATTTAAGTGTATGAACAGAATAGAGCTTGTATTGCTTCTTGATGTTTTTGATGCAACCTGAAGTTCAGCAACAGAACAGTTTTCAGTAATGTAGGACGCATTTTGTTAAATGAAAATATTTAACCTAAATTCATAGAATCTAAATGTTTTTCAAAGGAGGTAGAAGGTGAAGACTTCATTTTAAGATTTGTAATCAAAGTATTTTAACTATTTGGTGGAAAAACAAGTTGCTTGATTAGTTTGTTTGTGTTATTTTGTGACTTTAGTTCATTCAAATTCACCTATATAACAAATACACTAACTGAGAGACAGACAAGCAACTCTTGTGTTTTGCAAGGTAAAATTACAGTTTTTTACAATTAAATCTGGTGGCTTCAGGGCTGTTTGTCATCCAGGTAAAGCTTTTTAAATATTCTAAATATAGCCCTTTTTTAAAATTGGCTAAAATATTTTGCTGACAACTATACAGCAATATATTTCTGAGCGTTCTGCTGACACTTTTCCTCCAAACTGACTATTGATAAATACCTCGTCCACATCACTTCAAAATGTACCTTTAAACTATATTCACAGACGCATGGCAGAACTTATTATATCACTGCTTATTTACTCACACTGCTTTTTGTTAACTGCAATAAAATTAATCATCCCATTTGATTTTATGTTGTTCTTTCTTTATCATTTAAAATGTACTTCAATTGGTAGAAAGAAAAATGGCCATTCTAACCAGCAATGAATAATGTTACTCAATACAGGACATGTTGCTTGTTTTGGGATTTTTTTAAGATTCTTTCTTGTATTGATTAAGAGTAATAACTGTTCCATGGATATTATAAGATATTTCGTTAGATTTATACAAATTTAAAAACATTTAGTCCATATTTAACGCCTCCATGTTGTATATTAAAGAGCCAATCAATTCTTAAATCTTCCACATGAACCTATTCTTCTTGTTGGGGTTTTCCACATGACATTACGTTACACGTCACTTGTTAGACGCTTTTATCCAAAGCGACTTACACACATTCAGTACTGTGGGCAATCCCCACAGGAGCAATTTGGGGTGAAGTGTCTATATATATGGTTAGCTCGGAGGCAGCAGGTCCAGCCTCGGCTCCGCCTCTTTGCCCTTATGTGGAGCAGGCTGGAGTTAGACTCTGACGTCACTGTCGAGCCGTTAGTGGCCGACTCCGCCTACTAAGGGCTTCTCGGCAACTCTGCAGAATCCTATGGGTGACGTCACGGACCCTACGTCCATTTATATATACAGTATATGGTCGTGACGCACGGCCGGACTTATCTCAGCCAATGACAGCTCTGCATGCATCCCCTGGATATTATTTTATTAACTGCTTTCATCGCGACGCGATGTTTACAGTGAGAACAGCTGTGAGGTCCGTGCAGAAGCAGAGCAGTGTGTAGGCCTATAATATATATCACTCAGTATAACAGGCCTACTCTCTTTATTTGCTTTAGTTTAGTAGATATCTACAAACAAAGAGTCGATATTTTTCTAAAACCATTTAGTGCTTCACATAATAAAATACACAACGGCTGTAGCCTGATTATGCTTTAGGAGCTGTAGGTGCGTGTGTGTGGTGTAGGTGTGTGTGGTACAGTGTGTGCGTAGATGCAGCGGACAGACAGGTCTCAGTTGGTTTGGTGTCCTCTGCTTACTTGTAATACTTGTAAATAAAACTTTTGGTCCGTAATTTATTTTCCTCATTGTAGCGACCAGAGAGGGGGGGGGGGGTATATCCAGTCTCTGATAGTGTTACGTTATTATGAGAGTGCTCTGTTTGATTCTGAAATTGTATATATTTATATAAATATATATATACGTGTGTGTGTGTGTGTGTGTGTGTGTGTGTGTGTGTGTGTGTGTGTGTGTGTGTGTGTGTGTGTGTGTGTGTGTGTGTGTGTCCGCATCTGTAGCCTGTTATTGTCTCATTATACCGCACTGTCAATTAATTAAAAGTAAATATATAAGTCGTCATGAACACATCTGTCCATCAGACAGAGGGCTGCTGTGCCTCCTGTCATCATTAATGGACGTCTCTTTAAAATGACCGCTCAGAGGAGAGGAGTTCTCATTTCTCTAAACGCCTGCTGCTTCCCCTCCTCTCTCCTCGGTTCCCCTCCTCGGCTCCTCCGCTCGCATCTCCTGTAAGTCTCGAGGATAGGAGTCGAGGAGGGGAGTCGAGGAGGGGAATTTGATGAAATGAGAACGGCCCTTGGTCAGCATGCATTTGAAGGTGGATTGGCGCCCGTTTGTTGGCTGACAGAGACTTTCCTTTTGGGTTTATTCCTGGTGTTTCTGCAGAACCTCTCACATCACGCCTGTCCCCTGAAACAGAACAACCTCTGCTGCTGGGTCATTATTTAGATTTTACTCAAACAGCTGGGTGAGTTTTCTTTTTTGTTTCTTATGAGTTTTATTCTTCTTAGTGTAAACAATTAAGTGTTAATTTCTCAGCTATGGAGTTTAACTAAAACCCAACTTTTTAATATGGTTTTTAATTGGGTTAACTTTCAATTCTCATCATTGTCCATGTTTTACTGTATTTCTTTCTGTTTTGCTTTTATTTTACATTTTACATTTTCTTTTTAAAATTGTTTTATTTTATCCTATTTTAATTTCTTGTCAGCCTTAATTCAAGGGAATTTCATTAGGATCACTGTTGATGTTTTATCTTGTTCTGTGTTTATTTTAATATTATTTTAATATCATCACCACACCGCAAACAGACAGACACACACACACACAAACACAAGCCGTTGCTCGGCCAATTGTTGGAGTTGCTATAGCAACTCCAAGCTACCCCCAGACGCCGCCCCTGGACAGAGATTATTTCCTTCCATATACGGAAATCAAATAGAGAAAAAGTAAGTAAATGTGTCAGATATTGGATGAGGAGTAAAATAATAGAGTTTCTTTAAATGGACATACAGTATACTCTCGCTAAGTACCTTGTAATTGAGTACAGCACTTTAGTAAAGGTTCTTTGTTACTGTCCACCACTGGCCTTGTATGTTGTACTGGTTTAAATCGATCTATGTTTTTTAGTCAAAATGAAGATCGCTGCCTTCAATGTGAAGAGACTGGGATGGACTAAAGTCAACAAGAAGGCCGTACGGGAAATTATCATTGAGGTAACTCACCGTGCTGAACCACACAAGTTTGTTCAGTGTAATATTTCAGTTAATGTTTTTGTACATGGTAAGACATTTAAATGAAAGGAGCTGTTTTTTTTATAAAGCTTAGATATAAGTTTGTTCATAAGATCATCCGAAAAACAACAACAACAACAACAACACACACATATCAAGTAGTGTTAATTTCGTTGACTAAAACTGACGAAATATGTTCGTCAACGACCTTTTTTTCCATGACGAAAACGAGACGATGACGAGACGGCACCGACGGCAGTAAACAATAACTGTAACGAAATCATCATGCAATATCGTTGACGAAAAGTGACGAGACGAAAATGTAGTTTACTAAATAAAAACTATGCCAAAATCTCTCTTTACTTTCGTTGACGAAAAATGAGGAGACGAAATATTATCAAAGATAACGTTACATCTCTGATAGTCAGTTTTTCTCCCAGCAGTTCCGGTGCTGCGGCTGGGTGCAGCAGCTGTGTGTCTGTGCCGCGCGCGGCGGTACATTTGAAATACACCGGACAGCGGCACACTGTGAACTGTCAGGAAGACTTGGGTCTAACTCATGGTCTAACTAACCTTATTTAACAGAAAATAAAATGGCAACAACAGGGATTGGGAGCAGTGGTCGCACTCGCGTTAACCGAATACCCCCCCCCGTCAGCGCGAGTGAGTGATACATTGTGCACTCGACGGGTAATAATGGATTATGACGGAAATGTTACGATCTTGTCTGTCAAAATTACTGACAACGAAAAAGTATAAAGCCACCACTGCTTGGGAGAAAGAAACGATGTGATATTTGGGCCCATTTTCGCTACAATGAGGCTGAGAAAAAAAGCGAATGCATTGTTTTATCAGAAGGGAAGCAATGTGGCCATAACACAGCTGGTAAAAACACCACAAACCTGACCAGATACTCTCTGCAAAGCTGCATTCTTAATCATTCAACCTGTGTTTTTCATCAAATAAGGACAAGATATAATCTTATTGTGAAATAAGTTTGACTAAAATGACAAATTATTGGTTTTGGCTAGACTAGTTTGACTGAAATGTTCAATATAATCTGATGACTAAAAAAGACTCAACAGTTTTCATTGACAAAAAGTAGACTAAAATAATTAGTTTTCTTCGACTAAAATAAGACTAAAATGCTCAGACTTTTAGTCGACTAAATCTTGACTAAAATAGTTACTGTTTTAGTCGACTAAAATAAGACTAAAATGCTCAGACTTTTAGTCGACTAAAACTTGACTAAATAAAAACAGGATGAAGGTGACTAAATATGACTAAAACGAAAAAGGAAATTTAACACAGGACTATGACTAAAACTAAATAAAAAAATAGCTGACGAAATTAACACTAATATCAAGTCATATTACAGGATAGAGGAAATACAGAAAAACTGCCGTTGCAGGAAAGAAGGCCGGCAATTAATAGAATATCCCCTCCCATCTTCAGAGCAATCTGACTATTATAACATTAGCGTTAAGAAAGCTTACTTAAATATCTGCCACAACATAAGTAACCGGATCAGAGTAACATTAAGTAGGCTACAGTCCGCGGCACTGCTGCAGACGTCGATGTGTCCCATTATCATTCATATCATATCACATCATAATGTATCATATATTTCCTTATCTGGGTCAGCTTCTTGAGCCGTATCTGGCCGTGCAACACTCACAGTGTCACATACTGTATGCAGAAGTATTATTTTAAGCAACACATTAAGTTGACGAAACACTCGAGTCAAATGTAATTAAAGTCAGATCCACTCGTGTCTTGGATGGGGCAGTGATATCATAAACCTGTTAATGTACGCATTCAAACACTTTTTCTGTTACCAGCTGTATTCACCTTGCAGGTGCAGCTATGTGGCTTTTATCCTGGATAAAGTGTTTAAGTCATGGATGTTTAAAGTTTAACTTCTTCATATTTGACTAATATTAAAGTTCACTTTTCATTCAGGAAGTATGACGCTGCGCTGTCAGTACGCTTGTCCATGTTTGTGATTGGTCTAATGCTCCAAATACCACCCCTTTCATGTGAACGCGCACCTAACTAGATAGGACACGGCTGGCTTGAGCGATCCACTTGATAACCAGCGTTGTAGGACCGCTTAGCGAGAGCGTGTATGTTTTGGATTAGGCCAACCGGCTAACTCAAACATATCCAGGTTATGTTGAACCGGCTTCGTAGTACAGGCCTCAGCTGTAACTGTTAAACATATATATTAAAAACTTCTGCTACTGCAGTTACAAATACATTTTCCAAGGCTGTATTTGGTTCTGCATCTCAAATATGAATGTTTTTTATTTGTATTTTTTATATAAGACATTTTAAAGTAGACACTAAAGATTTAGATACAATTTGTTATGGTGGCTTACCTCCTTCAATGTAAGGCTTATAGTAGACCATGCTGGCTCATTGTCACATATATGGAACACTTTAATATAACAAAGCCATTATTATTGTTGCTATTATTAGTCACATGTTTGTTTTTATAAGCAAACTCTTCTACCTGAAACTTTTTTTATATTGTGTTGTTTTTGTTTTGGTCTTTAAAGCATGTTTGAATTTCAATTCAAAGGCTTTATTGTAATTTGTACCCCTCTTAGAAAATGAAAAAAAAAGGTTAGCCCTAAAGAGTGCAGGGTTAGGGCTAAACAATAAATACAATTAAAAAAGTGCTTTTAGTTCTATGCTTTTTTTTCTCTGTGGTTGTGTTTTGCAGATTTTGTCTGAGTACAGCGTGGTGGTGCTGCTGGAGGTGATGGATGAGAGTGGTAAGGCCATGAAACTGCTCCTCAAACACCTGAATAACTATGGGTGAGTTCTCCACACATAGTAGCATGCACTTTAATTTAAAGGGGCCATATTCTGCAAATGTTCAGGTTACATTTTTTATTTTGTGCCTCTACTGTGACGTGTCTCCATGCTTTGATGTTCAAAAAGCTCTTTATTTTATTCATACTGCCTGTGCCGCAGCACCTCTTTTCACCCTCTGTCTGAAACCAGAGCCCAGTCTGCTCTGACAATAACATTTTAATGTATGTGGCTAAAAAACAAATCAAATCTTATGGGGCATCTAAAATGATATAAACAAATTATTGATGATTGTGAGAGATGTTCAGTTCCAGTTGTTTCTGTTTTCTGGCAGAGATAACAGAAGTAATCCGTACGGCATGCTGTGCAGTGAACGTCTGGGACGGACGACTTACAAGGAGAAGTTTGTCTACTTCTACAGGTCAGAAACACAAGTACAGACAATCCTGTGTGTGGTTACCTTTTTGGGCAACCAGTGCCTTCATTGTAGAGACAGACCTGAAATGAAGAGTGATGACACACGGCAAATGGTCTTCGAACTGGATTCAGACCAAGCCTCAGTACACATCAATACCAATTGAGCTATACGTTATGTCTCACAGGAATTAAAAAATGTCTTAAATTGGTAACAGCCACATTCAATTGGATACTTATTATTGAAAAACTGTGTGGAATATTAAAGACAAAAAAAACAGTAATGTTTATTTTTGAACCAGTAATCTGTGACATATTACATTACTCTTCTTTGAGACGCTTGACTTCAATCTTTTAAGTTCTACAACTTATTTGTTGTCTATGGTCCGGTAGCTAAGACCCAGAACATCATAGGCTTTACAAATCAACACATTGTGCCGTTGGGCCAAACTCTACATACATTTCCTACAAGGCTTTACTGAAAAACTTCAAGTGGTTTATGAGATATCTCACTATCTAATAAAAATACATTAATAAACAAACAAAACATAACATGTGTGTTTATGAGCTTTATAATACAGTACATGTTTGTGGCTTTGTGTTTTAGAAAGAAAGAAGTGAAGATAGAAGACTCCTACCAGTACGTAGAAAATGATGAAGATAATGAATATGATGAAGATGATGAAGATGAAGAAGATGTTGACGAGCTCGCCAGAGAGCCTTTCGCTGTCCTTCTCAAATGTCCAAGCACAGGTATTTGTGTGTGTGTTTGTGTTTTTTAGACTATCATTGTGAGGATCAATTTGGGTTTTGTGTGTTGTGGACCTTTATGGATTATGAGGACATTCTGGCCTGTTCTCTATTTTGGTACAGACCTTCAAAGGACTGTTTGAATGTTAAAGCACTTCTTTAGTTAACATAGGGGTTGAAGGTTAGGCAACATTGTTTTGTTTATGTAGGTCCTCACAGGTGTGTTTATGTGTGTGTGCATATGTCTTGCATGGCTATCATTGTGAGGACCACTTGGAGTTTTAGAAGTTATGAGGACCTTTCTATATTGTGAGGTCCTAACTTTGGGAAAGACCTAAATGGACTATTTACATATAAATACTTTGTTAAAGTTAGACTTAGGTTGCGATAACGGCCGGGGAATTATTTGTGTGTGTGTGTGTGTGTGTGTTTGCCTCCAGTTGTGCAGAATCTGGTGTTGATCCCGGTCCACACCAAACCAAGTGACGCAGAGGCGGAGCTGAACGCTCTGCATGAAGTGGTTGAAGATGTGAGGGAAAGATGGCAGAATGATGTAAGTGTTTAAAATATTATTGATGGGTTTGAGAGAAAAACAATGTGTGAAAATCTTTACATTTAACATTAACCGTCTTTTGTTTATCACAATATTAAGTAGGTTTTTGAGAGATTAAATCGATTTGTTTAATTATGTTTCTCATGTAAGCACACTTTGTTTAAGCTTTGAATACCTACAGTATGAATAAAGTAAAAATAAATAAACATAATGTGCTTTTTCCATTCTGAATTTGCTTGTGTTGTTCTTTCTTCTGCAGAACATTATAATTTTGGGAGACTTTAATGCCGATGGACAGTATCTCTCCATGAGGAAGAAGGACTCGATCCTCATCTCCTCGGCTCCTTATTATTGGCTGATAGACGATGATGTCGACACCACGACTAGTAACAATAACGACCACACCTACGACAGGTAATACACATTTCATTGTTACAGTTTAATCCAAGCATATTTTGTGTTTGTTAAAAAAAAAAAAAGAGTTGTGCTGCATTTCCAAATAACAGGATCGTTGTTTACGGAGAGAGGATGCTGAAGGCCATCGTCCCCGACTCAGCCATCGCCTACAACTTCGAGGAAGAGTTGAACTTGACAGAAGAAGAAGTGAGACTCATGTTTAGGGCTGGGTATCGTTGGTACTAGACTGTAACACTGAAACCTGCTGAAGTGACACAGTGCAACCCATTACCGGTTTAAATGCATAGATGTAAATGTTTCCGGTTTAGCCCTAGCAGCATAGTAAACAATACATTTTATTTGGGATTATTAACAGCTACACTACCGAAGCCCATCGGCTGGTTGGAAAGTATACTAAAGCACATGTGGATAGTTTTATAAAAACTGCCAGAAGGGTGGAAAAATATTAGGTAGGCTAGGAACGTTAGCTATCTACCTAACAAGCTGGACAACGAAAGATAGCTATCTACTTTACAAACTAGAAAACATTTGCTATATATCTGACTTAGCTAGCTAGTTTATGTTAGCTATATATCTAACAAGATAGCTAGCCAATGTTAGCTATCTTGCTATCTATTGACAAATTGGTGATTCGCATAACTTAAGACTAATATTAAATATCCTATGGTTAGACTTGCAGTGCAAACTTGTGTCTACAGTTCTGGCAGTGAGAGTCATTTAAAAAACATTGTTGACATGCTTTTATTAAGCCGACCGACCGCTGTCATATAGCCAGCAGCTAAAATTCACAAATGTACGTTGTTTGGATAAACTAATCACATAATGGCTATCTAAATGGTTAATTTATTTCCTGAAAAAGGGTTACAACTTAATAACAGTCATTCAAAAGCTTAAAAAGCGGTTTATTTATTAAATAAATTGTTGATGAAGCTGGCAACCCTAGTAATCGCGCATTTGCTCTAACCGGAAGAACAAACTCAAAATAAATATTGACGATATTAAATGTTATTTTCTGTCCCAGACTCAGAGTGTCAGTGATCACTACCCTGTGGAGGTGGAGCTGAAGCAGAAAGCTCTGAGAAAAAGGAATCCAGGGACAACAGGGGGTAAAGCTGTCTCTTGTTTTATCAACATCAATGACACATATTAGACATAGGAGTGTATTTAGTTTAGTTTTTTATGGCTCTTGTTGCATCATGAATCTGACATTAACAATATACATACATTTCTATTGAACTGATGACTTACAGCAGCCCAGAAGAAGAAGCCTGGGCCGGCAGCGAAAAAGAGGAGAGGAGCGTAAACCAAGAGAAGAGGAACCAATCTTCAATAGATATCCTCTTAAAGTAGTTTAGTTATTAGCTTTTAGTGTTGAGCGCTATTTAAGTGTATGAACAGAATAGAGCTTGTATTGCTTCTTGATGTTTTTGATGCAACCTGAAGTTCAGCAACAGAACAGTTTTCAGTAATGTAGGACGCATTTTGTTAAATGAAAATATTTAACCTAAATTCATAGAATCTAAATGTTTTTCAAATGAGGTAGAAGGTGAAGACTTCATTTTAAGATTTGTAATCAAAGTATTTTAACTATTTGGTGGAAAAACAAGTTGCTTGATTAGTTTGTTTGTGTTATTTTGTGACTTTAGTTCATTCAAATTCACCTATATAACAAATACACTAACTGAGAGACAGACAAGCAACTCCTGTGTTTTGCAAGGTAAAATTACAGTTTTTTACAATTAAATCTGGTGGCTTCAGGGCTGTTTGTCATCCAGGTAAAGCTTTTTAAATATTCTAAATATAGCCCTTTTTTAAAATTGGCTAAAATATTTTGCTGACAACTATACAGCAATATATTTCTGAGCGTTCTGCTGACACTTTTCCTCCAAACTGACTATTGATAAATACCTCGTCCACATCACTTCAAAATGTACCTTTAAACTATATTCACAGACGCATGGCAGAACTTATTATATCACTGCTTATTTACTCACACTGCTTTTTGTTAACTGCAATAAAATTAATCATCCCATTTGATTTTATATTGTGCTTTCTTTATCATTTAAAGGGCCCATGTCATGGCCATTTCCACTGATCATAATTACATTGTTGAGGTATACTAAAATAGAATACTGTGCAATTTTCCAAACTCACATTGGTTTCGCATACAGCATCTCTGTCAAGCATGTGTATTCAGCAGTATTCACTTTCTCCACTAAACGACTCGTTGGAGCTCTTGCCCCCCCCCTCCCTGTGAGCCTAGTTTGCTCCGATTGGTCAGCTCGGCCACTCTGTTCTGATTAGTCAACCACCAGAGAGGCTGCGCCCATGTCTAAACGGCTGCTCTCAGCCGAACATCAGTCTTATCATGGCGTCGGTACAGCCGTATATTTTATACGCCAACTAACCGAACTGAACCTACAACTGTTGTTATAGAAGAGTGTGACGGCCCCAGGGCCTTTGTGCAGGTGTGTTGCAGGGCTTACGGTGGGGTGGAGCTGAAGAGGGTAATCAGCGCGATCACGGACACCTCCGTAGCCGGTGCTATTAATCCCAGCTGCCCGGAGTCTCTCTCCAAAGCGGCTGCAGAAGGACGAACTGAGCGACCCTCTCCCCTCGACCACCTATCTCTGCATTTACCACAATAAATGTGCCGTTGTTTTGTAAACTCGTGTATGTCTCCTTGCCTTTCCGTTGTGGCCTACGAGCCAGTCATAACAAAGAGTAAGTTATTTTTACCTGTAATAAACTACTACTGTTTGATGAGAAATCAAATCATGGTTTGCTATATATGAATTCAGGGAAGAAAGGATAGGCCTACTAAGTATTTCCATTAAACTTTATTTTTAGAAATGTACAAAATGAACATAAATATACATATATACACGGTATATCATTCATTCCTCCTCCTCGCATCTTGCCTGCGCACAGTCGGTGCGGTGCCTTTTAGCACGAGGCCTCAGTAGTAGTAGAAGTCCCGTCCCCGTCATGGATTGTCCGCCAGGATCTGGCTGGACGAAATCAAATGCAAATCACAAAATATTAGAGAAACTTAGTTGTTTTAGATTCGTTAGTAGTAGTTGTGTAATGAACAGCTTGACTGCTAATATGCTAACCTAGCTTTGTTTACCTTGGTAGCTAACACGATATGAACGTTAGCTTGGAGGAAAGGCAACTATAATGCAGTGTAATAAAACTACTATGAACAAAAGCTAGTGCTTCATATTAGGCTAGCAATAACGTGTTTATAATTGCAATCGTATACGGGTATTCTGCTACCATACAATGTAACTTGCATGAATACATTGTTTTGCGCTAGCATACAGCTAGCCTCGTTAGCTACATGCAGTATATGTACTGTCACAATGTACGGTAAATCACCCGGAGTATACTGTATGAGTATTCCGTGTGTGTGACTGCAGACATTCTCCTGCCATGACAAACATGTAAGGCCATCTGCTGACATTGTAGTTGATATATTTAAACGCTAGCAACGTAGCATCACAAAAATGTTTTTCCGACCAAACCTAGCTCTAGCTCCGTGTGTTAGATCGGTTGCATACACGCTACGCCAGCTATAATGTAATTACGTTTCGCGACTGACCGCACGGCAAATCACCCGGAGTATACTGTCAATAGGTATTTTGTGTGTGAATGCAGACATTCTCCTGCTATGAGATACATGTATGCAAGGCCATCTGCTGATATTAGAGTTGATATATGGAAACTCTAGCAACTTAGTTAGCACAGTTAGCACTGTGTCAATGGCTTAGCAGTCCAACACAGTTTACACATTTAAACATTCTTGTTTGATAAATACACAAATAACAATGCAAACTTACAGGTTGTATACCCGGATCTTCCCCTGCTCCAAACGGTCCAAACAAGCTGTGCATATCCGGCCTCAAACTGGCCAATGTTTTGGAAGCTTTCGTCTGTGAAATGCCGGTTCTTCGAACCTCTGGAGGAGGAACACGCCGCTGCTGGTGTGGCCATAGCTCTTCGGGATTGGTCCATTTCGTTCCGGGTACCGCATGACATCAGGCGGTACCCGGAAGAATCAAATGGGCAGTGACGTATCTCCAACGAGGCGTTTTGGGGAGGTATTTTCTGTGTTAGAGTTTTACTCGCTACAGGGTGTACTTTGAGGGTTTTGACTCTGCACACCGTTTACATGCATAAAAACCTTCATAACACACAAGGGGACGGGTAATAACCGGAAAAGCATGACATGGGAGCTTTAAAATGTACTTCAATTGGTAGAAAGAAAAATGGCCATTCTAACCAGCAATGAATAATGTTACTCAATACAGGACATGTTGCTTGTTTTGGGATTTTTTTAAGATTCTTTCTTGTATTGATTAAGAGTAATAACTGTTCCATGGATATTATAAGACATTTCGTTAGATTTAAAAACATTTTGTCCATATTTAACGCCTCCATGTTGTATATTAAAGAGCCAATCAATTCTTAAATCTTCCACATGAACCTATTCTTCTTGTTGGGGTTTTCCACATTACATTACACGTCACTTGTTAGACGCTTTTATCCAAAGCGACTTACACACATTCAGTACTGTGGGCAATCCCCACAGGAGCAATTTGCGGTGAAGTGTCCAGGGACACAACGACATGCTGACTGCAGTGGGACTTGAACTTGCTATCCTCTGATTTGAAGATGAGCACACTAATCCACTGAGCCACAGCCTTCCCTTTTCCCTTTCCTTTAGTGTGTTATATAGGTTTTAGTGCATGTAAATGGTCTGTAAAGCCTAAAATCCCTGTGTTCCCTCCAGAGGGAGTGACATCCTGAATTTTCAAGTCAAAAAACACTCCAATACTGTTTCAACTCCTCATTTTTTATTAGAGGTGTTATCATTATAAGCATGTATTTGCTTATATATTTTTTAAACAAAGCATATAGAGAGATGTTGACGAGCTGCATGAGATCACATCAAAAACACAGCTCTGTTAGTGAAACAAACATGAGACTGATATCTCACTCATGAACATGAAGCTGACGGAGTAAATTAAGTACATTTAAAAGTTGACGACATCGGTCATATCATCGCATTTTCTGATAGTGTGAAAGGCGACAGAGCTCTGCAGACAGGAAACACTCAACGACACAGATAACACACACAGTGTTGGTGTGCATCTACGGTGTGTGTGTGTGTGTGTGTGTGTGTGTGTGTGTGTGTGTGTGTGTGTGTGTGTGTGTGTGTGTGTGTGTGTGTGTGTGTGTGTGTGTGTGTGTGTGTGTGGTCTGTGTGTGGGTGTGTGTGTGTGTGTGTGTGTGTGTGGTCTGTGTGTGTGGGTGTGTGTGTGTGTGTGTGTGTGTGTACGTGTGTGTGTGTGTGCGTGTGTGTGGGTGTGTGAACTTCCTGTATCGTAGGTTTCTTCTGTTTTTCTGCACAGTTTGCTGTCATTCTCTCTGCTGATCTGACGGTGAGTTGCTTTTTGTTTATATTACTTTCAACTGAACTCTTATGCTCTCACAGAAAACTGAACTCCATGAGAAAATACATATAGCTATAAAAACATAGAAAAGTGCTGCTGGTGCAAATATTATAACATATTGTTTTGTTATTTACATTATCAGTTACAGAGCAGCTGAGCATTAATTACTATGTCATTTATTAACCATGTTATCTATAACTAATGTTTTGCTGATGCATTTTATTTAAAGTAACTTGTAGTTTACTTGAATATTACAATTCTTATTACATTTTTTTTTAAATGTTTACTGCACTGCATTAAAACTGCATGCTATTAAATGTTAAAGCTTTCCCCGGCTTGAATATATGATGCAATATTTCAGTTGCAAATACATTATTTACATTTTTACCAGCTCAACTTAAAAGCTGCTTACGTATGCATCAATTACAATACAATACATCTGCAATATTTAATAAACCTCTATGTGCTTTTGTAACTTTAAGTATATTTTGCTGCTAATATATTTGAAACATAGTACAATTATAAATAAATTGTAATAGGGTAGTTTTTAAATTAATTTTATTTACCAATATAACATTTTCAACGTGAAATATGTTAAATATTTCGTGATCTTGTCCTGAAGAAGATCACATTTTATCTATTTAATAATTTTCTTAATTATACTTCCTCTCGATGAGATTAAGATTATTTGTAATACAATTATTTTCAACTGTTTTCTGCATACTTACTTTCCCCTTCATATTGACTCCTGTCTTTATACATAAAGTCACCTCTGTGCTGCATGTTAACTTATTATCAGTCATTATAATGTGTACAGTCTCATGTCAACGTTTAATTACAGCTGCTTTACAAAACCCAACGCTGAGTTTCTTTAACTTCAGTTTTCATTTCTTAGTTTCTCACTTTAACACCCTCCATTTCTTCTTTTTTTCTGCATCTGTTGCTCTTTTTCTCCCACTATCTGTTTGCTTTTACTTTCAGTTTTAACAGCATATAACAAAACACATTTAGTCGTCTGATAACAAAATGAAGATCGCGGCCTTCAACGGCAAAAACCTGGGATGGAAAAAGGTCACAGACAAGGCGGTCGTTCACATCCTCACCAAGGTGATAATCCTTCATAATCTTATTTTATAATAGCTTGATAATAACAGCAAACTGTGTGAAGAGTGAGTGATATCTAAACACTGCGTTTCTGTTACAGATCATGTCTCAGTACAGTGTGGTGCTGCTGCTGGAGGTGATGGATACGAGCGGTAAAGCCATGCAAAGGTTATTGAAAGAGCTCAACAAAATAAGGTGAGTCTTCTGCAGCGTTTTATTTTGCACTTTCATATCAACAGTTTCAGTTTCTGCCACCTGGTAACTCAACTAAATACTTCAACCACCTACAATCTATATATTTAAACTGTCATCTCACTCTTAAACACCAGGAGGAATACTTGTTTGACTCAGTTGTTTCCAACTCTTATCGACAGTGCCCCACTTTTGTAGCTTTAAATATATTTGCAAGCATAGACACACCCTATCACATGTCCCTTTGCTTTCAAACTATAGAATATATATTTGAAATATTTT